CCTGGCCAGGAGAGTGAGGTAAAGCTGCTAGAGTACGTTTTAGGGTTTATAAATAGGTTTAGGGTTTATAAGGGTTTAGGGTTTAGGGTTTAGGGTTTATAGGTTTAGGAGTTGCACTACTATCACGCTTTAGTGACGACACCGGCCTCAACCGCCACACTATTTCCCAACGATGGCAAAGTCCATGTAAAAGACACCTGGCAAGCAGAGCTATAACAAGCTAGAAAGACATTCTATCTATAGGATTTGAGCTAGTTCTGGCAGTGAGCATGCGACAGTCGCTCTGGCTTTTGGCACATCAAAACATACAGGCTTTGCCTCAGGGTGACCCATATGACCTCTAGCTAAGTGGATGCTCCCAAGGCAGCCAGATCACATAAAGCTTGACAACATGTGTGTCAAGTGCACAGAACCCCTTCAGCTTCTGCAAACACAGAGATGCTAGTCTTGCTCAGCATAAGCCTTGGGCAGGGGATACATGAACTCACACTTAGACACACAGTACACATATGCAAACACATGCACATATTGCTGGAAAGTAACAATCCTGGCCAACTGGATTGCGTCCTCCTCCGGAAGGCCCTCTCTGATTTTCTGAATTTTGACTCGATGATATGCACAGCTCTTGCGGCTCTTCCGTTTCTTGTCTTCCTCCTCCTTGCTCGTCTTGTCATCAACTTTCATGGCTTTCATGGGCTTCTTGTCATCAGCTTTCATGGCTTTCTTGGGCTTCGCGTTCTTTGCTTTTGGCTGTTCATAGTACTGGGTGTCCTGACTGCCCGCGGCCCCTCCTTTCCCTTTGGCTCGACTTTTGGCCAATGCCTTGGCCTTGGCTTTCCCCTTTGCTACAGCCTTAGCCTTGGCCTTGGCTTTGGCTGTAGCCTTGGCTTTTGCCTTCGCCTTTGCTTTTGGAGTCTTCTTCTCGCTCTTCCCCTTGATGCCACTACCTCTGGGACGTCCTGGGCCGCGCTTGGCCCCGTCACACTCTTCCTCCAAATCATTCTCGTTTGTATTTTTGCCTTTGCCCTTTACAAGACTTGTCTGCTCTGACGGAGACATCACTTGAGCCTGACTCAACAAAGCCGGTCTCTCCTGCTCAATCTCCTTGACAGGCCCAGCTCCATCAGACACTGGATTGCATGATGAGGCTTTCTCATGCGTCGACGGAAGACCACTTGCAATCTTAGCCTTCTCTGGGTGACCATCTTCTGCAGTCTTCGAAGGCATGGCTTCAAAATCCCCACTCTGCAAGGCCAATGTACCCTTAGCATCATTGTTCTCTGCTGGCTCTCTCTTGCTTGACTCGATTGGCTCCTCCACTGGCTCTCTCTTGATTGGTCTGTTGATTGGCTCCTCCAATGGCTCTCTCTTGATTGGTCTGTCGATTGGCTTCTCCGATATCTGTCTCTTGCTTGGTGGGCTGATTGGCTCCTCCAATGGCTCTTTCTTGATTGGTCTGTTGATTGGCTTCTCCGACGGCTCTCTTTGGATTGGTCTGCTGGTTGGCTCCTCCAATGGCTCTTTCTTGATTGGTGTTTTGATTGGCTCCTCCACGCGCTCCTTCTTGATTGGTCTGTCAAGTGGCTCGGCCACTAACTTTCTCTTGCTTGGCTGCTCCAACAGAACTGCATTGCTTGTATTGCTGCTCAGCTCCTCTGCTGGTTTCTCTTTGATGAATGGTTCAATTGCTTGCTTGCTTTTGGGCTCTGTGCTAACCGTCGAAGCCAGGGCACTCGCTGGAGAGTCCTGCGAGGAGTTGGTCCCCTTCAGATCACCAGCCCCGCGCTTGCACTTCCGAAGAATACTTGGGCTTTTGGCAAAAGCCGCTTGCTTCGACTCTGCACGAGCAGCCTTCAGAGCCTGTAGCTCCTTTCTGACACACTCTTGTCTCGCAGCTGCAAGTGCAACATCAGCAAGGTCATTGTCCATCGGCAAAGTGTCTTGGGATTCCACAGAACCTTACATCAGCTGCAATTACGAACACAGCATGGTGTTACTAGCTGTATGTCAATCTCATGCAATCATAAACAGACCTCATGCATGCAAGGAGCGGGAGGTATTTGCTCGTTGTTGCTTGACTGTCATCAATGCTTCAAGGCGTTCCCGTTGAATCAGCAAGGCTTTGAGCACATCTCTCTTGTTTGGTGGGGTTTGCTTGGCCTCACTCGTGGGAGACACACTTGGCAGCGGGCGAGGACTTGGGGTGGACAGATCATGTACAGGCCGATCCACTTCCACACTTCCTTGGCGGCAGTCTGATTTAGGAAGAGTGTGCATCCATATGATAAATGCAGAAAAATCGGTCTCATGTGTATAGAAGCCTCTATGTTTCTCTTCCGTGCTAGGGGCCACTGGGCACTCTAGCACTTCTGGACGGCCAGAAGTAGCCTCAGATCGAACATCAATGACTTCAAAAACTATGCAGTTTCTAGCCGCTTCATTCAATTGAGCATGGTTGCTTCCTCGCATGCGTCCTCCGTGGCCTGCTCTTCTTCTCCCTCTTCCAATCCCTGATCATATGATGGCATCAAACCCAAAATCATTTCTATCAAAATTCCAGCAAACACCTTGCATCCAGCCTCACACTCAGCACCGTCTTCCACGTCACTGACATCTGGCAACGAAGATGAAGAGCGACCTGGGTCACAAGCCACTCCGAACATGCTGCTAGTTGTGGTCATTCTCATGACAGGATCATGTATGATGATGATCGACAGTGTGGGGCCAAGCTACCTTCTGGAATGGGGATGTCCACAGCCTCATAGATTCGTCTGATCCCCTCTTCCGTCGGCCGATGTGGAAGCTTTGCAATCCGCACGAACATCGTAATCAGGTTTCGGATCCTCCAGCCCTGATTCTTGGCAAAATTACCTCAGTTTGTGCACCACCTGCTTGACAAGAAAAGACCATATAATTGTAGGATGCCAATGCTGATAAGGTGAAACTGCACTGATAAATACAACAAGGCAAGTAACTCGGAACGGGCTTTCCAAGAGGACGTGTTCCAGCAAAGAACTCTGCGACTGCATCCTCCAAGACAAAGACACTGGGCCTGGAGCCGTACACCTTTATGGCCTTGGCAACAATTTCCCAGTTCACGGACAGGTCCGCCCTGGTCAAATGATTGCCTGCTAGAATGATGCGACCAGCTGCACCGCGCTCTTTCATTCCCTCTTGTTCCATCCACTGCTTGGCCAGTGCTTTGGCCTCCGACTTCTCGCTTTGATTTTGTTCCCCTGCCTTTGTCGTCATGGCTCAAGACACCCCAGAAGACAGCTACGTTCTGTTGTCACATACACACACACACANNGTACATTGCATGTATACCACACAAATATGCATGGCTTCGGTACATGCCCAATGTCACAGCGAAAACTACTTTCTGCAGAAGCTAAAACCCCTTCGGAATTCACACAGAGCATGCTCACAAGTGGCGATCCCCGAAACAGTCACTGCATGTGCACAAAGCCACAAAGCAACGACAAGCCAGGGTCACCGATGTAGAGCACTGGAGCCTCCGTCAGGAGAAGATCGATCGAGACCGGCTACGACAAGAGCACTGCATACTCCATCATCATTCCATCCCTTGATTATCTACAGGTATCTTCAAAATAACATCACCCCTTTGCGAATCTCC